TGAGGGGGGTGATGCAGAATCAAGATACACTGGACCAGGTGCGAGCTCTTCTTTCTAAAGGCATCACTCCCCAGGAACTCGAAGACATTTTGGTGGAACGAACAGCTTCCGCGCTGAGTATAGTGCGTGGACTGCAACTCCTTTCTTCTCTTCTCTCAAAACTTGAGAAGGAGGAGAAGCGGATGCTTCACGAGGTACTTAAGACCCTCTGGCTGTTTTCTGGAGAAGGAAGTGGGAAGCACATGATTGAGAGTCTTGTGGGTTCGGGTACCGAGTTGGAAATGCGAGTGCGTATGGCGTTTCATTCTGTTCTCGAGACGTGTGAATCTCTCCTAATGAATAACTGTTCCAGGGAGATGTCGGCAGAGGCGATGCTGACGTCACCAGCCGAGAATGGTCCTTCCACGATATTACTGTTGGCCATTATGTGCCATCCGTGGGATGCAGTGGATTGTGAGTTTTTTAAGTGCAACGGGAATGAGGATGAGCTGGCAGGTATCCTTGGACATTTGGAGGAACAGATGAATCTGTTCACATGCAACGTGCCGTTGATGTCTTCATGGCGTAACCATCGTCATCAAAGTGATGCTACGGGCGCAGCAAAAAGGCCGAATAAATGGAATGAAATGATTGGTATTGCGGAGCACATGTCGATAAACTGCATTCTGCCAAATGGATTTTCTATTGCCATTCCAAATTTGCAACTTTCTCTTTCAGAAGAGGGCATCACCTTTGAGAAGGCCGTTGCCGGCCCATTGACGTTGCGTGCGGATGAGGCCTGGCCTTTGCCACGACTCATGGCTTGGTTCGGTGGCGTTCCCCGCGTATTTTATTATGAGGTGACACTCACATCGCCGTGCCACATTTTTGCCTTGGGCCTGGGCCACTGCCGGGGCGGGATGGATCGCGGGGTCGATGTGGCGTATTTTTACGAGAATTCCGGTGACACCCACGACATCTCTTGCCCGCCTTTTGAAGAGGGTGACACGATTGGCTGCGGTGTTGTGGCGACAACGCGAAGAATATTTTTAACCCTGAACGGTGTCTTTGTTTCATTCATGGGGACTGTGAGCGACAAGACTGAGGCACTCTACCCCGTCATTCGTATCAATAACCGCGAACGCGCAGGTTTTACGGTGAACTTTGGCTCTACCGCTTTTTGTTACGATTTTCGCAGATTGCACCCCGCTCTTTTTATCAGTGGGCGTCCAACTTGTTACAACATCGCTTCTACCGCGGAGATTGTTCTTCACTACATTTGTGCTCGTGCCTGCACCATGCGGGATTCCGGTAAATCCTGCGCAAGAACGTTTCTTATAAATTGCTGTGAATTGGTTTGCCGCAGCATCAACAAGGTGGCGTCAATTATTATGGACATTGGTGTGACTAAAGTGGAAAATTGTGATAGTCGCGTTGAGCAGGCTGTGGTTCTTTCCATCGCCGAAGCATCGCTTATGAAGTTCATTGCAGCGCTACGTCACATTTTACAGATTGGCAAACCCTATTTACTTCCGGAGGTGATTGGTGAGATGCTCTTTAATGCGGCAACAGTTCTCATGATGTTGCCTTTGCATTCGATACAAATGTCGACCATTAGTTTTTTTCCAGAACTTCTTCCACACATCCCTCATGTGCAAGACATGGGCGCCTCAACAAAGCTGGTAAAGACCCTGTTTGAACACGCAAAAGTGCCGCTGGATACTCGGGGTAAAATTCCATTTGTCCCCTACTGGCGGCAGTGTGATACTCGATGTATGACCATCTCACATGTGCAGGTGGCTTCCATGCAACCTGAGGCGCAGCGAAGTATTGTTTTGGGAAATATTATCCCGCGCACAGGAAAGGTGTCCTTTACGGTACGCGTTTTCCGCAAAGGGATGTCGAAGGGGCACTCCCTTAAGGGCGGGTACTACATTGGGATTGCGGTGGCCAACCTGACACCTCTGTCGCCATCAAGCAACTCCCAGAGCTGGAAGGCCGTAAAGCCACCGGTTGTGTGGGCGCTACACGATATTTCACCTCAACTGCCCCATGCCACAAACCCAACGGTTAAACCAAATGTTTTTCATCGGACCTTTGGCAGTGGAGACGCCATTCGTGTTGTAATTGACTGTGACAAGCAAACGGTGAGCTTTCATCGTGATAATGAGTTTCTGAAGACTTTGTTTACGGACATTCCCTCTAATGTTGATTTGGTACCATTTGTTCAACTCTACAACGACGATGCCTCCGTCTCCATAAGCCCTGGGGAAATGACGGCGCCTATTTCATCATCAACTCTCCTCAGTGCTGCTTCGGTGGATGTATTGCGTTCCATGCTGACATTGGAGCCATTTGAGCGTTTGGTTGCGGATGGGCTTTGTGAGGAATTGGATGAGGCAGCGTTTCCTTACGTCACCTTAGCCTTGTTTAGGAGTACACCGGATCCGCGTGTTTTACAGCTCTGTTGCCGTAATGGCGAGAAAATTTTGGTGACTGTTCGTCGTTTGACACAATGGCGGGTCAAATTTTCTGTTGGCAACTTGGCGTACTACGAGCACATTAACAACCTTCGCACGGCGTCCTTTTTGGGTACGAATGGGGCATTTGACGTCAGTGATGTATCGGTGTCATTGTCAGGCATTGAACGGTGCATTTCCAGTTTGGTGTCTGCCCTTCGCCGTCTTGTTGCCCCTCTTGTCACGACACAGGCACTCTCTCTGCTGGAAACACAACAGCGACAAAATATACTGGAGGATGAGAATGATCAATGGGACTATTTGTTTCATGGGGTTCGTGTCACGCAATTTCTCAGCATTCAGCGACTCTCTCAGAATATTCATCTTTTGGAATCCCCACGCATTCCTGTGGATTACACGTTTTCCGCCGTGCTGTCGCATCCCGGTTTTTATTTTTCTCCTCGTTACTGCGGCCGCTTGGCAACGGTACCAAGTGGAGCGGAAAATACCACAACGCCTTTTATTGCGATTGCTGAACCCGCTGTTCCGTCCACAGGACGATTTAACTTACGCTGCCAGCTTATCCGGGGACACACGGGACAGATATTGGGCGGTGGATACTACGTAGGGCTTTGTGTTGCATCCTTTGATTGGAAACGACGGGATCTGAATGTGGGCAATCCGGAGGTGTGGGCCATACACGACATGGACGATGCACCGTGGAGGCTGCGTCACCTGTACCCAGGGACTCGTTTCCAGACTATTGCTGACCCAAGCTGCATACTTGTAAGTGGGGATATTGTTCGCCTTGAGATTGATCGCGATGAGGGCACTATGCATGCCTATCGCAAGGGTGTAAACCAGGAGGAGGTTTTGGTAGGTCTTATTTTTGATAATTTACCCAAGGACACTGAACTCTTTCCGTTTGTGCACTTGTATAATACAGATGCTGTCGCGGTACTTTTACCATCCGATGGGGATCGACCGGCAACACGCACGACTGTGCAGCAGCCACATTTTGCGCTGTGCTTTTCAAATGTTAAGCGGAACTGCGACGGGTGTGTCACACAACACCTCGAGACGCGTTTGACTTCTCGTGTTTGGTACAAATGCAATGAATGCGTTGATTACAACTTGTGCCATTCTTGTTTTACGCTCTGTATCCACTCACATCATTCCTTTACAGAAATGGGACCCGACCCTCTTGTTTACTCCAGTTCTCCCCCAAAGTTTCTGGCGCTGGGAATGAAAGTGGTGATTCCCGGAACCACCGCGCTCTATTTGAAGAAGTGTGGTTGTCGTGTGCTGGAAAAACACATGAATTGTGTTGCGGAGGCGAAGAGAAACAATGCGGTGGCAATGTGGGGCATTGTGTTTAAGAAGATTGCCACCTTTACGGTTATGGTGGACACATCGAACGGTGAACCTCTTTGCCCTGAGACTCCCATGTTTATCGGCCTTGGCGAGGCCGAGGATGTTACCTCCGTTTCTGTCGAAATGCTTCGGGAGCGATGTATTTCAGGGGCGGCCAGTATCGTTTCTCTTTGCAGCGATTCCTCGCTGGGCCGAAAGCTCAACTCGCCAAGTCTTTCTCCGTATGGCTTCCGGCGTGGCTCGACCATCACCATAGAAGTAGACACCGTGTCGGGGGTTGCCACTATACGACGTGACTGGGTGACCCTTGGCACACAGCCCTTTTCCGTTTCCCACCTGGACAACCCCATTAACTTGGTGGGATTTGTGCTGTTTGGTAGAAAGAATGTCGTTGTTTCCATCTACCCCGAGACCAATCAAACAATTCCTGCTGTCGTAGAAGAAGTGACGGATACGTTTTTGCGCGTCTCGTGCCAAGGAAGGGTGCGATTGCTAAGACCCGAACACTGTCGTGTTCCGTTGTCTCCGTCTCAAAGTCCGCCTGCTGTGGGTGCATTGGGATACGTCTTTGTGAAGAAGGATCTTGTGCAGTGCAAAGTTGTTGCTGTTGAAAAGGACGAGGTGGCACTTCATTTTCCTCTGGACAATGTGGTGCAATGGGTTCCCTATTCCCAGTTCTTAACTGGTCGCTTTGACGCCATTGCTGAGGAGCGTCTGCTTCATCGCGAAATTGACGAAGCAGGTGTTACAATGAGTGATGGGTTTGTTATTTCCAGGCTTTTGATTATTCTGTCGTGCCTTTGCGAGAATGAAGCGCTTTTGCCACTTGTCTTGTCTCACAGCCCGGCAATTTTGAGTGTACTTGGCCCAATGGCCGCCGTGGAGATTAGCAATGATGCACCCATTGAATTTATTCAGGAGGTTCGTACTGCGGTGGATGTGACGTGCAACTGTGTTCGTGTCATGACCGGGAACAGGCGTCTTGCAGGATTTATTCCATCCCTTTCTATTGGAAGTCATCAATGCAAACCAAAGCGAAATATGCTCATGTGCTCTATGGAGGGTCCACATCGCGGTAAAATTTTTAAAGTTTTTTCTGTGGAATCGGCAAATTCTTTCAGGGGTGTGGATATTGCCGATATTTCTTCAACAGCCCTGCTAAACATGGTGGATTGTATCCCAGTCAAGCAGTCGGGCGGTAAGCCTTGGTGGACCATCCGCAATGGCCTGCCCTGTAACTTGCTGGAGCATACGTTGCGCGTGACGGATCTGGAGCATCGTTCAAAAAATACCACGCTCGAGGGAGAGTGGCAGGGGGAAATCATCATACCGAGAAGAAGCAACGGCTCCATTTCAATTCGTCTTATGGCAGACTGTACGGGTTTAGCCACTGTGAATTTTCCCACCGGATCCAGGGAGTGCGTTGTTTTTGGGGAATATATGCGGTACAGCAGGACTGTGCGTCTTTGTCTTTATCATGCGGCGGGCTCGAAAAGATGCAGTGGATTTCTTTTTCAAAAAGGGGACAAACATCCAACGTTTGAGGCTGCTGTGGAGCAGGTGGAGTCAATGCTGTCCAGTAGTAAGGAACCCGTCTTTGTTGTTGTTATGGATGGGGTCATTGACACGGAGGGTCAGCGTGTTTTGGGCGAATGGAAGCCACGGAATGACAGAGCGGGTTCATTTGTCGTGAATACATTTCGCCGAGTGACGTTTATTTCTCCCACAACTGAATTGGCGCAAATTGAGCCTCTTCCAGAATGCAAGGACCCCGTGATACCACCGGCTCCACAGCGGGACATGGCATCGACGATGCACCGTCTTGTTGTGCTGCTTGCCCGACATTTGTATCTTTTAATCCTCTACAAGGGCGGGGAAGTGGGGAGAGATGCCTTTCAGTGCATCATTCACTACCACTCTCACCCGCTGACCGACCAGATTATTTCAACCTATGCCGACACAGAGCAATTGCTGCGCACCGTGTATGAGACGTTGCACCTTATTTTGGACCCCAATACGAAGCCATGGGACTCCACGACGCTCTCGTTGCTCATTACAAAGAGTGTACTTCTTCGAGATGGGGTTGCAACTCATTTTCCAAGTCTCCTTTGGGATTTGTTTCATGCCGTGGTTGCAGCTACGCATCAGTGTGGTGCCGACTACCGTCGCCATCTTTTGAAGAATGTCATTGGATTTGTCGAGAGACACCGGGATGGATTTCACGACGTTTATACTCAACTTCTTTCTTTATTGCTGACGTGGGTTGATCGGAACGTTCCAAGCTTTTCAAACTCTTCCGAGAGCCGTCAAGACGTTGCCGCCGGTGTGGAACTTGTCATGAGTGTCGAAAAGTCCCTTTTGAAAGATACCATTCGTAACATCCCTTTGGCACCACTGCAGTGTTTGATAGATATGTCGAACTCGTTCACGGAGGGAGTGCCGTTACCAAAGGCAGTGGATCTTGTGGGGGAAGAGATGGCTATACGTGATGTTCCACCTGTTGAGGCACATTGTGCATTTGGTGAATTTGTGGAGGGATTATTGAAGGTTGGTAAAGTCATGAGTTCTTGTGCGGCGCGCACGCGCGGTAAATATTACTACGAGGTTACATTACCAGATCGACTGACCGCGCCATTTGTTGTTGGATGGGGAACGGAAGAACATACGGAGGTTCCAAGCCTGCACGTTGGAAGTGATACCTGCAGTTTTGCCTTCACGGGGAATGAGCTGACGTCAAAGAATAAAAAGGAGGAGTACAAACCCGGACAAGAGGTGGTTCCTGGATCAGTGATAGGGTGCTTGCTTGACATGAATGAGAAATTGGTGGCCTGGTCGGTGAATGGGGCATATGGTCCATTTGTCCCCATTCCTATTGAACATGGGGAAATGGCTTTGTATGCATTTATGTCTACGGGTTTTTGTACTGGCATGCGGGTAGCACTCGATGCGTCACAGTTTGGATATGTGCCTGATGGCTACTCCGACTTATCGGGACGTTTCACGCGTGTTCAGATCACGACGTATGGTGAGCAGCCGCTTCAAAGTGTACTACCAGTTCGACCATTGTCCTTTTATGAACAGTTGGCATCCTATCTTTCCGATACGGAAGACTCCACAATGTTGAAGATGCAGACAAGCAATTCATCTTTTTCTGCATTCTCTTCCGTCGGGATTTTGAGTCCGGAGGCCGAGCTGCTGTCCCGTTATCCCCAGTTGTCAAATCTGAGCTACGAGGAGCGGAAGGAACACACCAAGGTTATTCGTGTTGCGGAGAGCTGCATGGCTACCGCACGTCGTTTTATTGACCTGGACAGCGAAGTTGTGAATGGTCGATTGTCGTGTGCATTTCTGCTCATGAAGCACATTGTGCGCCGGCCGTTTGGAAGGAACCTTCTCGTAAGTATTCCACCTGTTGAGAAAAACAACAATCCGCCGGGCATCACTGTGCGTATCACGGAGTTATATTCCACCCTTCCACGTACACCCGAAGTCGCTCTACAGCACTCGGTACTGTCGCAGATATACAAACAGATTGGGTCTTTCACGGATAAGCAACTTCGACAAAGTCCGCTGTTTAAGGTGAACTTATACATCGCCGGCAGTGGACACGCCCCACATGATCTCGGAGGACCATACAGGCAGTTGTGGACTTTCCTTAGTGAGGAGCTTATGGCACACCCGGATAAGTGTTATCCCCACACAGACTACCACAGGAACCCGCTCTGTCGTTACCTGAACAATTCAAGGAGAATTGCGCTGGTTCCAGACAGCTCTGCCAACTCAGCATATGATCTTATTTTGTTGAATTTTCTTGGAAAAATTATGGGCCATATGGCGGCGGCGAAGACGCCCTTGGCGCTGGATTTTTCGCCATTTGTGTGGAAGTATCTTGTGGAGGACACGCTCACGGTAAAGGACTACTACAAATATGTTGATAGTGTGGTGGAGAAGAGTATGGAAGATGCCGATTTTTTGATGAGTGGGATGGCGGAGGAAATCATTCCAAACCTTTCCGCGGTGCTGGAATCACTGGAAAATAAAAGCGAGAGTGAGAACGCCATGGTGTTTAAATGCCGTCGGCTGGCGGAAGATTGTTTGACGCACTCCATGGATTTGCAGTTGAATGCGATCCGCGAGGGGATGTGGTCTGTCCTGCCCAAACGTGTTATTCGCTGTCTCTCGTGGCGGGATTTGGAGCGGATGGTCTGCGGTGACTCCGACCTAACGCCTGACCTGATGCGGCAGTCCATTGAGGTTCAGTTGAATGGGATAAGGGAGCAGGCCTTTTGGCGTATTATGGATGAGCTCACTGTGGAGCAGCGTTCTTCATTTCTCTGTTTTGCCTGCGGACAGAAAAGACTTCCCCTCATCCGCAAGATCAGGGTGACCGAGAATGCAGAGAGTACGGAGCATCTTCCACGGGCACAGTCGTGTTCATCATTGGTGACTGTTCCGCCTTATGATACTTACGAACTCTTTAAGGAAAAACTGCTTCTTGCCATCACGCATGAAATGGAGATGGAACTGGCGTAGCGCCCAAAATGGTATGCAATGCTTCTTGCTGTTTACCACAGCTTTTTGTTTTTTTTTAATTATCTTTTCTCACGCCGTACCCCCAATTTCATGGACCACTTCCTCTTTTTTTTTTTTTTTTTCCTCTATATCTATCTATATGTATATCTATATATCTATAAATATATATATTTGTGTGTGCTTCTGCTTTGCATCCGTATTTTATGGATTCGCATTGGCGTTTTGTTTTCTACCACCTTTTTTCTTGGTTCATTTTTGGCTAACCGCCTTTGATGTACGCATGTTTTATTTACTCACGAACCTATTGTATATATATATGTATTTATGTATACATGTGTGCCTGGATGGTTTTTTCCCCCCACTGAAACTTATTGGATGTAATTAGGAGGGCCACCACACGCGCTTATTCTGGCCTTCATATATCCGCCCCCTCTTTTTTTTTTTTTTTTTTTTTTCTCATATCCTTAAATAAAATTTGTGTTTATGGGATTTTGTAGGAGAGGCGATGCTTTTGAGAGCAAAGAAGAAGAAAAGAAAAATGAAATCAACCGCATTTTTTTTTTTTCTTATTTTTTATTTTTTTAAAATTTATAAGCGTGGGAGCACAACCGAATGCGTTGTGGCTTATTTTTTTTGGGCGGGTGTTTGCCACGCCTGTTTTTTTTTTTTTGCATTTTTATTTTATTTTTGTTTCTGCAATGTTTCTTTAGATGCAAAGGGGTTCACAGGGGGCCGTCGCCCTGCCGCTGCTGGTGGCGTCGTCTGGTTGCGCCTCGTGGGCGGATGTTCTTTCCAGCTACCGCAAAACGTGTGAACTGCTGCGCGGCGTGTATCAGCCGACGACCGAAGAATTGTACCACGGGCTCTCAAAGATGGAGACGTCGTGGAGCACCTCGCTCTTCTACTACGGTGTAATTAAAGGGACATGTGGCTACAGACAACCGCCGACGCGTCTAGTGAGTGCGGCTTTGGAACGTTTTAAGCGCAGCGGTAATTTCTACGCGATCAAACGGGTGATGGAGGAGGATGTGGACACCACCACAAATGAGGGAGCACGCTCAATGCTTGTGTACGCCTCCTTTACCGGAATGTGGGAAAGCGCGATGGCTCTCTACGCAAGCAGCGAACGCATGCAGAATAATCTAGCGGATACACGAATCCTGGTGAATATACTGGCCCCGAATGGGCGCTGGGACCACGCACTCCAGTTGCTGTACCGCCGATCACCCCCGCCGCTAAGCTCCATGTTCGTTAAACCCATCGTTCGTTCCCTGGGCTTGGCAGAGGAATACGACAGGATGTTCCGACTCGTTGCGGCCTCACTTGCTCAGGGCCATAAGATGGACGAGAGTCTTTTTTCCGCCTTGCTGAGGTCATTGCAAAAGGAAGGCCGCTGGCGTGCCGCCTTGGAGACAGCGGAGGAACTGGGCATATTTTCCTTGTCTCGTGAAATCGCCCCAAAACATGCGGCGGTTTATGGTGGACTGTGTGATTGTCTTTACTTAGCGAACCCTTACTTTAACTTTACATTGCGTGAGATTGTGGACGACATTACAAGTCGCATGCACCCACGAAATAATTTCACTGATGCTACTAAGAAGAACGAGAAGAAATTCCGTCTAATTACTACGAATGAGATGTTCCGCAGCTATAAGCGCTACGTAAGTCCACTCAGCTCCATATATGTGAAGCTTTTTTCTTTGAATAAAGCTCATCATCGCCCGGTCTCTGAGCTTGCGGATGAGGCGTTAAAGCATGGCGACACCCTCTTGGTTCTTGACACCAACTTTCTTCTTCAGTGCACGGCAAAAGATTTACCGCTCAGTCATTTCTATCCACCCATACGAAGGCAATATCCGCATCTTGAAGGCAAACCACTTGAGCATTTGGTTATTCCCTTTACCACAGTGCGTGAGATTTATCAAATTATTTGGAGTCCTTCAACGCAGTTGAAAAGGGCTGTCCGGAACCTTTTGTGGTCTCGTGTGGTGACGTTCTTGAAGCAGCCATCGGTGACTGTGTTAACGTTTGCTTCAGAATTTCCATGCATAACATTTTCTGCCATTTCTAATTTGGCTTATTTACGCCTCAACGAACCCGCGAAAGAGGGTGATCCTGATTTGCGCATACTGAATACATGCTTGGCTCTTCAACATACCCTTCGATTACGAAAAGCGGCATCACTTCAGGGCGTTTCTCTCATATCTGAAGGGACGATGCTCTTTTCCTTCTTGAAATACCACGTGCGTCGCCACCACCGTGATGTTCGGGGGATGGCCACGGAGTCACTGCTACTGTGTACATTGGATAAAAGACTATCCGCTGCGGCAGACGAATTGGGAATCCAAACATTTCCACAGTTTCACATTTCAGAAAACGTAGCCTCCGAGACGACGGGAAAGCAAAGGTAGGTGCAGTCCTGTATTACACACCTTTCTTATATATTAAATATAAATGAAATAAATAAATAGATATTTTGTTCTTTTATGCTTTTCTTATTTATTTATTTATTTATTTATTTATTTGTTTATTATTTTATTTCATTTTTGGTTTTGTATGAATTTTCGATGTTAGTTTTGATCCAATGTCCACGAAAGAAGGCGTTTGTCGAATATGTCATAGGGATAGAGGGAGGCTTGTCAGCCCTTGCACATGTGAGGGTTCGATGAAGTATGTTCACTCAAGGTGTTTATCGGATTGGGTGTACCATCGGCGATCACTTTCTTGTGAGGTGTGTGGAACGACGTACAGTGCCGCCAAGGTGTTCAATTTTCAATTGACTGATGGGGCACCCGGATTTTTTATATTGTGTTGGATTTGTGCTAGGCACTACATGAAGCGATATCTTGGGATGCTGACCTTTGCGGTACTCCATACGCTTGTTGTTATTTTTATCCCCTTTATTGTGGCGTTTTTTCACTACGCCATTCCTCCATCCGACCCTCTTGCTATGCGTTGGCATCCCGTCATTCAATTGCTCCCGGAGTCAGGACCCTTTTCGCCACAGATTTTTTTTGCGGTGGGTGCAGTGCTCACACTCTGTGCAGTCCCTCTTTTTTTGTTGTGGAAGAAATGGCAGGAGTGGCTTGCATTGGGGGAGGGGGACGTGCTTGGTCTTGATTTCGGGGAGGAGGAGGAGGCGGCGCAGCAGCCCAGCGTCAACCCCGTTCTTGTGGAGTCCGACGAGGAGGTTGACGAGGAGCCCGATGGGGAGATTGGAGGACAGCGCTTGGTCCCGGCTACTCTTCCGGAGGAAAATGCAACGGTTTTCGAGGCCATCACTTTACTGAGGCAGAAGTCAAAGGACCATTTCGGTGGGGGATATTTGTCTTCAAACGTGTTCCATTCCAGTTTGCACTTTATTTTGTTTTATGCGGCCATGTGGACATTTCTAAAGTTTGTTCCGGAAATAATGCGTCTGACTGCAGCATTCCTATGGAATTTTTTTGATGGCGGTTCCAACTGTAACGCCGCCTTGGAGAGGGTTCTGCAGTTGACAGCTATCTCAGAGGGTAATTCTAGGATGCGCCATGCCATGTTAATGTTATTTGTAGATGCCTTGGGAAGCTCGACTTTGATTTCTTGGTCCATTTTATATGTGAGACGAAGTTTTTCATTATGGTGTATTTTTTGGCTTGTGAAATATCTGCGCCGGCTGCCACATCGTAAAACACTTTCTTTTTTGGTTGTATATTTTCGCGGAATCTTGAACGTAATTGCACTTACGTGCTATGGCCTTTTAACGGTTTGTTTTTTGACGACGCTGATCTGCCTGGAATTTTTCGTAGCCGAGACGTCATTTGCTTCCAACGACTATGAAACGGCATGGAAAATAGCAACGGGGGTTTCAAGCAAAAAGATGGATCATGCGTTGGCCTTGGGGCATCGGCCACAAGTTGGTACGGGTTCTTCACCCTTGACTATGCTGAAGGCCCTGAGTGTCCTTTCGGGGGTTCATGAGAATGACACATGTGGCAATTTTGGGGACGTACAAACGCGTCTCATGACGACTGGGGCCAATATTTCTGATGGTTTCAACCGTAGTGCCTGGGCTGTGGACGGTGATGATCCATTACTACTGCCACTCTTTATCGCTACAGTTTTTGTGTCCAAAGTTGACAGTGTATCGATAGTGGAAATGGGATATATGGCAGTGTATTTTGCCCTTTTTCTTCCGTGCATGGCGCGTTTTCTAATTCATACAGTTCCTGTGGAGTGGTTGAGTTGGAGTTCACTTTACAGGTTGCTTCACTCGAACTTGTTTGAAGGCATTCGTTTTTGTGATCTGAAGGCGCTTATTTTTATCTATGGTGAGATCCTTGTGTACACAGTGGTGTGTTCATTTACGCTTCTTCGGTGCTCACTTGCCCTTGTGCGTGTCATCAACCCCTCACTTGTACCTATAGCATTGCTGGCCAACACCAGTATCCCCTCTTTTGCGTGCTGGATGCGGTTGTCTCTCCTTTGCTACACGACACATCGAGATGTGCTGGAGGGGGCGTACAAGCTGTTGACTTCCACACTGGAGAACGTATTTAATATCAGGCAGGTGATGCACGGAGGCTCTTTTTCACTGCCGCGTGTTCTTTCACGTGCTGTGCGTATCTTGGCATTTGTGATTTTCTATTGGCTGGTTACTGTCGTGACTTTGGCGGCGCATGCCATCCCCGGGCTGCACGTGCTGGGCAAGCGGGGCAGTCTGGTGCGACTATTTCTTCTCTTTGATGTTCAACTTCACATAATCCTTTATAGCCTTTTTCCACTGGGGTTCCCGCAGCAAGGAGGTCTCCTCAGGGTTTTGTCTCCTCGAATTGGTCTTTTACTGGCTCACTGGAAGCACCGCTGGTGGTTTGGCTCATGTCTTGGTTTGTGGTTGGATTCAAGTGAGGTTCGGGCGGGAAACCGCCTTGGCTACAGCGTTCGGTCTATTCGTAAAGTGCCCGGGGACGTTGGTTCCAGATTTTTATCTTCCATTGATGCCGTTTTAGTCCGCTTGGAGGAGTACAAAAAAGGCCCACGTGGGACGCGCCCCATTGAGCGACTCCAAGAGACGCTGAAGTCTCTTGCGTCAAAGAATGACGTCATCTACTTTTTCCTTGAGGAGGATGTGCGTCTCCTTCTTGAGTGCATGAATCCGCCCACGATTCAACAGTTCCTTTGTTACATTTTGAATTGTGTGGTGCTTCTAATTCTTCAGCCTTTTTTCTCTGGCGCGGCTTGGGTGGTAATGGTGCGGAGATTCTTCTTTAAACCGCACTGCAATGTGGGTGTCGACGCTTGGTTTATTCTCTTGGCGTGGTTTTGTGGGGTTGCGATAACAGTTTCATTGTGTACGATGCGTGTGAAGGTATTCGGTGCCCCGAAGCGTTTGCTGGTGTATTTGTTTTGCGGCTGTCAGCATTTTACGATAAAAAATGCAATGGCGTTTATTTTGATACCTCATTTTATGCACATTGCCTCCATCTCTTTTGTACCGTACACACTGCACAATCTTTTGTGCTTTCTTCTGGTATCAGGAGGGAGGGAGCGGTATTGGACAGGGCATGTGTTTTACTACGTGGCATCTACAGTATTGCTGGGCGCCTGGTCTTTTCTTCTGGAAATGCGTGAGATTGAAAGGCGTTACCGGAACAAGCTACGCGGTGTAGTTGAGGGCGGGGCTGAGCGATTGATTTTGCCCCGTGTGTTGGGGCATTCCGTTCGTGTATTTCTCTTGGACACCCCTGCGGACGGAAGAGCGCGCGTGAGGGATGGTGAGGTCGCACCCGGACGTGATGTCGGAGTTGGTGCTCCGCAGCAAATTCATGACGTGGAGGACCTTCGTGGAAAAATTATGGGAAATGCAAGAGCCTTTGTGAACTCCGTAACCGAGTCGGCTGTGCGCTTCCTAAGAAAGGTGGCTGAAAGACAAAATATTATGGGAGTCGTATTCGTTGACCACCCGTCGGTTTCAGCGTGAGATTCCCAACATGTATTTTTTTTTTTTTTCGTGGCTGCCGCTTTTTTTTCAATCTTTTATTATTATTATTATTATTATTATTTAGAAGCATGTGGAAAGAGTGTGCGACCAGATGGGGGAGGGGGGGGGATGCTGGTCGCAGTGAATCAAACTGTTTGTCTTTTTCTGTTGTTCTTTTTTTTTTTCTCCTTTTAGGAATAGGGGAGCAAGGCTTCATCCAGGAGTGCATCTTCCGTATATAAATAAATAAATAAATAAATAAATAAATAAATAAATAAATAAATAAATAAATATTTTGCTGCTGGACCATATATTGTTTATGCACGCCGCTAAGTGGATATCATTGCTTCTTTTTTCTGTTTTTCTTTTTTTTTTTTGTATTATTTTATTTGTATTATTTCTTTATCTTTTTATAGAGGCAGACAAGGAAACATGGAGGAGGATAACCTGCGGGATTTAATGAACCGCCTGCGGTTTGCCACAGGCAAGGCCATTGAGGCCCCCATGCCAGAGGCCACCACCACACGCATCGATGAACAGTGTCGTTTGGTGATTCAACAGGCACTATGCCACCATCCCGCCTTGGCCATGCTTCAACAGACAAGGGATGAACTTAAGAAACATGTTATGGAACAAATTCAAGACTCTCTTCAGACTGAGGGCTCACCTTCGGATGATGTGGGGCGTCTGCTTGGGTGGATCAATGAGACATCAGAGGCGCTGGAGACGGAGCGATTGTCAGCCGTTTACAGTGACCCCGAGGAGGTGTTTAATGCCTTGAAGCGTCGAGCACTTGGGGATTTGGGCATTGAGGCGCTTCCCAAACACTTGCAATGTGGGGCTGGTGACCTGTCGCCATGGAATGTACTATTCACCCTTGTCTTTGGTCCTCTCTTGACCCTTGATGAAACGCGATACAGACGGGTGGAGATGCACATTCCAAATCCGACACAGGCAATGGTGACAGATCTTACGGAAATTAACAAGAATGCCTATAGCACCCCGTCATGGATATCACTTCTGAATAGCCTTGCGGGATTTCCGATTAAAGCAGTCAGACATGTATGGCTTGCGGCTCTCTTTTTCTTTCCGACAAGTGGGCCTTTGGTGGCTGCCTATCTGACGAGAGAAATAGAGGAGGCTGCGAGACGACGTTTTCTATGGGATGAGGGAGACGAGGACGATGCAAAGGAAACGTATTGCTCCTATTGTCGTGTCCTGAACTGTTTTTTTCGTCATCTTCCACTATGTTTTAGCGTTGATTTGTTTTGTCTATTTATGGGTTTTTTGGAGCGTTTTATTCGTCCAGACGATGCCACGTTGGATAATGTCTTCAGGACTGCGCTGCAGCGATACATTGGGCACTGTCCGGCGAGCGCGGAGGTTTGGAAGAAGTACATCCGCTGGAAAAGCGAAAAAATTCGTGACGCACATCTGCGACGTGAGTGGGTTCGTAAAATGTACATTCGGGTGCTTCGAACACCCTTAAATGGTTTAAACGAAATCAAAGAGGACTATGAATTCTTTCTGAAGGCAGAATACAGGGGAAGACCTCCGACTGAAAGCCGCTTAGAAGAGAGGCTTGTCCGCGCACGCGGGGCAGCCGTTGAAATTAACAGATTCATAGGGATGCACGGGAATGTTCATGGCGGAGATGCTTTGCCGAGGCTCTTGTACCTTCCGCGCCCGGTAACGCTGACGGCAAACAATACCTCTCGCGTTGTGGCGTCGGAGAAGGAGGAAATTATGCGTCGCTTGGAGGTGGAACTTTGGGCTCACTGGACATCCTTGATTGATCGAGAGACCGGATCTACCGCCTACATGGGTATGGAGTTATTTGGTTATGAAAGGGTGCGATTCTTCTTTGCGATGCGGGCTAGCGTCTTCCCTCACCAGGCCTTTTCTTGGACTAGCCTTGTAGATTATTGCCTCGGACAACAGCCGCTTCTTTCGGAGGCTGAGCGACGGGCAATGGCGAGGGAAGTTCTCGAAAAGGCGTCCTTTTTGCTAAAAGGGAATTTTCTTATGCAGCTCTCGTACTGTGATTACATGCTACGGGATCTGGCGGACCCAGACTACGCCCACCGATCCATGAAGGGTTTACTCCTTCAGCAGCGCCAGTCCATTGTGGACTACATTAAGAAAGAGGCCCTTGTTTCTCTCGAAGGGGCGATGGTAGCGTTGGAACGCATTGCCCTGCTGTCCATCAACTGGATGCGGTGGGGCAGTGTAAGTAAGGAGGTGACAAACTCTCAGTACATTCGATTAGTGGCACGCTTTACAATGCATCGTGTGGAATTTCTCTCACTGATCATGGGTGTTATTCGACGCGCTTCGAAGGAGGAGCGTAACTTTGTGCCGCGCCGTTGTCTGCTTGCATTTAACACATTTTGTCACTTTTGGGTAGAGCTCGAGCTTATTCGCAATCAGGCCAAAGCTGAGGCGGTTATGATACTCGAACGATGGAAGGACCATTTGAACATGTTTTGCGGTTCCGCCAAAGACAAGGGATGGGGCTTAGTGGACTGCGGCGTTGACGAGTATTTTATCTCCAGCTGCGCGAATTTGTGCCGTAGTGATCCATCGGCGGTGCAGAAGGTTTTGGGGTTTATGGATGAAGTACGGCTTACGGCTGTGAACTCCCTTTCCTTTTTGCCGGAAGAATTGGATTCGCTGTTAAACAATATAAGAGGAGTTCGGGACATGTTCTTTGTTGTGGATGCCGATGCCGGGAGGGTCTCATCTTCCCCGCTGCCTTTTTGCCTGTTCAGTTCGCGACTACGGGGTGCGACCGTCCCGCTACAGACGTACGATCATCACCTGTTTTCTGCAGGGGAAGCGTGGCACGAGGAGGAGAAAACGTACATGTCGCGGCATGCGGAGGAGGCGAGTGAGGGGGGCAGTGCTGCCATGAACGCACCAATGGGGTCTTCTGTGGAATTAATGCCGGACGACGCGCGTTGGATCCCGCATGTACCAAAGCGAGCCCATGCTGCAGCAGAAACCTCACAGCTTGCTCAGAGAGCGAACACTGAACAGGAAGTCAAGCAAAGGAGAAACAAACGGCCACCCAACAGGCGGTCCCTCGTTGCCGAGGGTGTGTTGCTTCATGATTTGCCCACTGCCATCCACGCCGCGGGGTGCACGACTGCATCCGATGCGGTACTTCTGCGAAAGGTTGAAAAGATGTTGGTCATGTACCTGCCGTCAACGTATGAGACGGATGTTTTGTTTCGAGACCGTGCGGTTGGCACGGAGTGGCTACTTCAATTTATGGAGCGCATGCCTGCCATGCAGTGAACGAGGCGGATTAGAGGCGTCACTAAATTGCGATACACACACACACACGCACACAAACATACGAACACGGGCAAAGGAAGAAACAATGAAAAGAAGGGAATGGCCGAAAAACCTCCGCATTGGTGTCGGAACATAATCGAGAACATCTTTACTTTTGCAGGTTTTTTTTTTTGATTAATGATAAACACATGCCTTTTTTTTTCTTCTCTTTTTAATGTTTTTGTTTTTTCTCCAGTTTTTTTTTTTTTTTACATGCGCCGACAGGTTGCCTTTCGTTGTGCAAAAATAGAATTTATTTCACCCAAGCCGGAAGCGCTCATTCCTGCTGCGGAAATAAAGTCCATTTCCCCCACCTTGCTGTACCGGAGACTTCTCAAACTGTACATTCGCAAGTTTGATACGGATCACAAAACAATAGTTGCCGCATGGAAGCAGACAAAATTTGAGTTTTGGTACCATCGAAACGACACACCAGAAGAGGCTGAGTTGCAGAATATTCGTGGCCAGCAGATATTTGAGGCCATTCGGGCCGGACTGGTTCCTGTCTACAGGGACAGCAAAACGAATGAGACATTTTTCAAGTATGATGCCGACACGTTGAAGGCAGCCCATAATCACATTGACCCTGTGGATGCCGAAGAGTTTATTCGCCGCTACCACGACAAGATCTCGCCCGAAGATGTTGCGGAGATGAAGACGATGCTGAAAAAGCTGGGTCGCTGGAAGGGACCGGATGAGCTTCGTGACGAAGACTTACACCGCGTCAAGCAGAAAGTCACCCGCAAGGCCAAATGCACAGATCCCGACGATTGAAAGTCTTTTGTTACGACTGCGGTGACATGTCGATTTCTCTCTTTTTATTTCTCTCTCTCTCTCTTTGTGTCTGTGATGTTTGGAAAAGGGGTGGCGCCAGATTTCTCAAGGAAAAGGCAACAAAAAAAACAAATGAATATAAAGTGAAATCGTTTGAGATGAATCCTTTTTCCCCTTTGGTGCCGGTTTTTTTTTCTTGAAAATGCGTTTTATGCTCTTCTTGACCTTTTTTTTTCCTGTTTTTTATTTATTTATTTATTTTTTTTGTGTTTTTACGTATTGACGGCAATTTTTTAAAAGCCCGCCCGTTTATTCTCTTCCTACTCTCTCCGGAAGCAGTTATGGTACTCGCATACGGTGGGGAAGGCGTGGATGACCACGATTGGCTCATCACCCGTACAGTCCTGCCTTCGTTCGAGAGCGTCTTCGATGAACTTGAGCCGATCAGCGAGTTTGTCTGCCCTCCGTTTGTGCCACCGTGCCGTTCTTCACGGCAATACTCTCTGATGGCGGATGCCTTAACGATAGGCGGGGTAATTAGCGAGTGGGAAAAGAAGATGATTCTTGCCAGGTTAAGGCAAACTCCTCCTCTTGTTGAGGAGGAATTTCAAAGACGTCTTAGTACGGTTCATTACGCGTAATACAAGAGAATACATACGTGAAATTCAAATTCGTGCTTCAACGCAGGTTGAAGCTGAGCGGGAAGGGCGTCGTTTGGAATACGAGGGAGGAATTTCAAGAAGGGAGGCTGTCTTTGCCCGCCACAAAAACTTGGCGACTATTTTGCGAGGGGAAGTGAAGAC